CAAGTACCATACTTAAAGGTAGGGTAGGTAAGTTTGAGAAACCGGCTCGAGATACACTTTTTGTTATATTCCATGGAATGCTCTTAACATCCCGATAGCAATGAATATCTTAAGTGCTTTGACAAAAAATCCATAAAAAAATGTCATCTGTGGAAGCCGTAGTACTGTAAAAAGTACGACCAATCATTTTAGCTGGCCCGGCTAAAATAACTGGATGGCCTACCTGCCTGTCAGCCTTCCATCTGTGCACAAACTTATCTCGTGCCCTCATTGGTCATGTGCGCGTTCGTGTGTGTTGGAGGAGGGGCTCTGTAAGGAAGTGGCAGATTTTCTCCGGTTGTGTATTTTCAAATTCTAGCGATCTCGAGCCGGTTTCTCAAACTTACCTACCCTACCTTTAAGTATTGTTTTGACATACTTGTACTATACTTGAGGATTTCGATTTTATGCCACTTCATTCTATAAATCCACAAATGTTCCTTTTACACATAAAAACACTTGATATGCTAATGTAATATAATGCAGCACTCAAATACTAATCAACCCAATATTTAACAAATAATAAATAAAAAAACATAAAAATGCCATTTTATATATTTGTTATTAATATTAAGGATAATTGAAGGCGGTAATATAATAATCTATAATATAAAATGTGAAAATAGCCATTCTGCATACAAAGAACTATTACTTTTGATACTTTGAGTATATTTACTTAATAACCGTTCTGTACATTTCCTTAGGTAACATTTCGCATACAGGACTTGCAATGGAGTATTTTAAGACTTGTATTTTCACCTAAGTAAAGGCTCTGAGTGTTTCTTCCACCTCTAGTCTTAACTATAGTCTTGATGATCACATTAAGAGGCTCCTATACCCACTCATGAATATGCTAAGTCCACCGTGAAATAAGCAAAGTGCTCGCCTGGAGCTGCTGCTGCCACTAAATAGCTGTAAGAGTTGATGCATTCCGTCAATAGGGACTTTTCCAAGGGCAGCAATGCACCAAAGCTATATACAGCATTTGAAGTGTTCACTCACTACAAGCAGCATGAAGTCTACCTTGCAATGCTAGCGGATTAGCTCACGTTGCCTCGCTAACATATGCAATGACTGCCGGCGAGCTCTTCCCCATTAGGTTTGCACATCAAAGGCGGCGGGAGAAGTTCTTCACAGGCAGTTAAAAGTGGGCTCAGTGTGGATCTTGTAAATACCGTCTTTGAGTCTGTGCCTCTCGGGGGACACTTCACACACTCCTCCAGTCAGGAGAAGGGAGGGAGGGAAGGAGAGGAGCAGTGACAGGCATCAGAGGCGGGGGGGGGGGGGGGGGGGGGAGAAGGTGGGGGACGTTCCTGAGAGCCCAGTCCCCTGTCACCTCCAGGATAGGATCTGTGGATGAAGAAAATCACTCTCCTCTACTCTCCTCTCCCCGTCTGCATCTCATCCTCTTCCTCCTCTTCACACTTCACATGATAGCTGACGGTGAAAGTAGAGCATGGCTGTTTTCCGTTTTTCCTTTTGAGTCATGTTTTTCATAACACATAAATAGAGCATGCGGCGTCCTGGGAGTTGTGTGATTCTGTGTTTCAGTATACACGCGGACACAATAGCATCCACTCTTCTCAAGTGTTGTTGAAAACATTTTATCCATCATTGCCGTTTGTAGGGCTCTGGTGAGGCCCTCGACTCCGCAAGGAGCAGAAGAAATAAGATGAGTGTTTTGTTAGCAGCCACACACACACACACACACACACACACACACACACACACACACACACACGCACACCGTACGCTCCCAAGCCCATCGTTGCCTGGTTTTTGCAGACTGATCAATGCAAATGCTGTTATTTACCCAAGCCTGAAATGAAAAGACTATGGATCAATTTGATGCACTTCCATAGGGTGTGTGCACAGAATGGCTGGCTGGCTTTTTTTTGTCTAGTCTACACCCCCCCCCCCCCCACACACACACACCCCCCCCCCCCCCCTTCCTCTCCTTTCTTAGTCATCCATCCTTCATCTTAAACCAATCCCCCCCCGTCAACATCACTAATGCAGAAATATACTACCATGCTCTCTCTCACGTACACAAAACATCAACAATGCATTCTCTCCCTGCACGCTCTCTCTTCCTTTCAAACACACCCACAGTGTGACACTGGGGCTGCATCCGCCTGAGCTGTGTGAGAGTGTATCTGTGCGTTTGTGTGTGTTTTGGGCTGACCCACTTTCTGTGCTTGGCCGGGCTTGTGCTGCTGCTGCTGCTGGCTGCTGTGCTGCTAGGGGGAGATCCCTGCAGACTCCCCCAGAACAGACTCCAGCTCTCCTCCTGACAGACACTCACCGTGGCATGTTATCCCCCGTGCGGATTGGAGACCTCTGCCTCTCTCTCTTTCTCTGTATATGTGTGTGTGAGTTTCAGATGCACCTTGACGCAGATTCACAAGTGAATACTCACAGAATGACTCGCGCAGTAACAGCATCCTCACCATAGCAAACACACAACACTCTCTCACACACATATGCAAAGCACATACCATCCCAGATCTGTATATTTTTAATTCCATCCACCCTCCTCCGGCTCCTCCTCCACTCTTCCCTGTGTTTGTCTGGAGTTATTGTTTCAATCTTGCTGCATCAGGGGGCCCCTGAAGGTTATAAATTAAACATAAATGCAAATGCGCTGAGCCATTGCCCTCCTCCACCTCCCTCCTCCTCCTCGCACACACGCATCCTCGCCATTCAAACAGATCAGTGTGTCTGCGAATTAATAGGAGAACAGTGGGCTTTTTTTAATGAGCGAGGGAGGAAAATTAGAGTTGCAAAGCCACAGCGCGCGCACCAAGAGCTGCAGCCGAGGCAACGGCTTGAAAAGCCCGGCGCCATCATAGAATATGCTAATGCTCCAGGTCCCCTCTCTGTCAGCCTCAGTGTTGCTCTAGATGAGATCAGAGCTGAGGCTTTGATCTGGGGCGCTGATGGGAGCCAGAATCGTCATGTGCACAAAGTACAGAGAGCAGGAAGGGTGTGGATGAGGCTTGTTCTAATCAGAAAAGGTGCACACAACCACTGATGAATCTCTAACATGAAAGAAATGCTCGGATCATTTAAGGAGATATCGTTTTGTCTTTCAAACACACACCAACAGGAGTCACTTTTTTGTCACCTACACATTTTCTTTCTCTCACGCATACAAGGAGGGTGTAAACATCCTGTCTTCTCGGGGTGTCCTATAGATAAATAGCCATCTGGTCTTGTTGATGCTATAGGCTGGGCCTGAGTACACTGAATGGTGAACGCCATGGAGACTTTGTAGACCGACCATAACAACGTTATAGCTTTTATTCTCTGCCATATGGGCTCATAAAGGCAAACGGCTGGGAGAGGTTTCCAGGGATGTCACTCTCTTTTTTTCATTTTGAGTGAGCTTCTATTGGGAAATGTGGGATTAAGCCTTGCTGTAGCCTAATGATATTAACCACGTTTTCTTTTTTTTCATACTGATATTAATATTTGTGTATGCAGCTGTCCCACCTTCTAACTAAGGTAACTTCAGTCCTACTGAAGGTGTTCCTGTTTGTATTTTTTGTAATACATTTATTTATTTTGTAAAGCTTGTACCAACACTGTGTCTCCAGCAGGGGTCTACCCATTGTCATGGCTTCATAGTGAGTTCACACTGCACTCAGTATAAGCAGAGTGAATTGTGCCCCCTTGTTTTACCATTATGTGTCCTGCAGCAACAATTTGGTGTTAAAAAAATAGGGCCATCACTACCCGGTCATCACCATTACTTAATCATCATTACATCTATCACGGGCATCTTCGTTGTCAATGTCATCATTGCATTTTGTTTCCACCAGTCATAATCATTATCATGGCCATCCTCAGCACAACTCTCATCCCCAAATCCTTCTCTTCCCACCCCTCCCCTCCTCCCCTCACCCCTCCTCTTTCATCCACAGCTCCCTCTGTTGATCAAATGCATCTGATCTCATCAAAGCAGACCCTCTGCTCATTCAAGTCCCAACAGACACCCCAGCTTCTTTACTAAGCACTATTTTACATTTTCATGTTTGAATACCACTGATGGGATAGCATATCTTGTAGACTTTGGTTTTGTGTGGTCCTACACAGCAGCCTGGGGTTGATTTATTTTCTTCTTTTTCTCTCTTTTTTATTTCATTATCATATCAGACCGACTCCTCTCTGATAAAGTAAAGCCAATGAAGGAAATTAAAGAGTGTAGCCTTTTATTCAAATAGGACCCTAATGAAGAATGGCTTTAATATTCATGATATTCATAATGCATTCCTATGGAGGCTTGCAGTGAGTTTATAGTTACCTACTGGTACTGAATGACCATTTGTATCTGCTGAGACAAAGACTGAGCCCCTAGACTTTTATATAGTTTTGATATTTCCATGGTTTACTATTATTACACAATTGCTATCTTTTTTTGTTGAAGAGGAATGTTACTCATTTTCAAGCTGGGTAGAATTGAATGCTGTGTATAGTGAACGAACTCTGTGGTGATATTCCAACATTATAGCTGCTATAAAGTGAGATTACATTCCTATTACGATGGCAACATTATTGCGCACAGCTTGTGGTTGCGTGTCCGACTCCTGTCAGAGCTGCAGAGAACTGCCTTGAGCCGAGGGACAGAGAGGGTGGGATGAGGGAAAAGCTGGTCTGGATAATAGTGGAGAAACTCGCTCGGGTAAACTTAACATCTGCTGGTGGGTTTATGTGAAGAATCCGTGTGGACCAGGGGAACAGTGTTCGTGCGTAAAGTGGAAATGCCCGATCTGTCACGGTCATTGTTTGTCTAAAAGTAATATGTACTTTGAACTCAAGGGAAGGGGTCAATACGTGGCTCTCTGAGCTGCGATTATTAAAAGAAATCCGGATATTTTAAAGACAGGAAGAACACGAATGTCATGTAGAATTAATACAGTCATCAGTATATCCTTTTTATTGTAAAATTAACCTTCAAAACATCGTAAAACACACAGAAACATCAAAATGCAGCGCGCGTAATGGCTCGATCCAGTCCGGATTTTCCATGCGATGCGCGTCGGAGCCCTGGAGGTGGATAAGCTGGTAGAGCCCGCTCTCTCTCATGCCATGCTGGGCCACAAGGGCTCCGGGAGACGCTGCTACATATTACCGAGAACCGGGATGGAGGAGAGGCGGAGGGGGGAAGAAAAAAAAGTTTCGTTTAAACCTGGCAGAGAAACTTTCAACATGAAGCCTCACTGACGCACCATTTCGACACCACCACCAGAGCTAGAACAAAGCTTGCTTTTCCACTGAATACATTTTCCTCCTCCCAGCTTGTGTTTTTCTTCCCTCTTGTATTATTCTCCGTGCGTGCACGGCTGGTCGGGGCTCGCTGTCATTGCGCGCTGAGATGTTGGAGTGACCATGGCTGCGCAAGTTGCATCGGCTCCGACCAGAACTAATAACACAAATAAGAAATTGTCAAGCGGTTTGTGTCCGGAGCTCAATTCGGGGAAATCAGGAGGAGGAGGGTCCGTACAGCGGACTGGACCGATGCTGGGCTCCGGAGATGGGACTCTGAATAATGTAGACCATCACCGCCGAAACGAGCTCAACATGGTTCATTCAACTTCCACGACTCACAACGCTTCGGACGGCCACGACAAAGATGGGAATAACCTCACGTCCGCCTCGGCTTCGACTAATTCCTCCACTTCCTCGATGGAAACGGGTTTGATTGCGAACCACAAGCTGAAATGTGTGGGGAGCGGAGATCCCCCTCAGTCTCAGCCGCCGCAGCAGCAGCAGCAGCCGCCGCAGTTCGGACAATTTGCGCCACATCAGCAGCGACAGATCCAAAGTAACAACACCGCCAACAACAACGGCCAGGGGCCCCGTGGGGACAAGGGGATGGATCACCAGCACCACGGCGGCAAAGAGAACCTGTTGGGGGGCCAGGGAGAGCCACAGCAACACATGCCAGGAAAAGGTGAGGGGGAGCTCACCTGTAAACCCGCGGAGAGGATGATGGGTACCAGGTATGAACACTCTAACTTGGGGCCAACTAGTAACAACTCTGAGTTTAATAACAACTATTACACTCCGAGGCCTTGTTATGAGCAACATGGCGGACAGCAGCAGCAGAGCAGTGGGATGGGGATAACGCACTCTTCGGCACAGAACAGCATGGAGAACTCCCACGAAGCGGGGTACCAGAACAGCCAGTACAATCAGTACCCGGCGTACAGGGCAGGCTACGGCGGAGGGGCCTACGGGATGATGGGCCCCACCGGAGGCAGACAACCTGGGAACATGATGATGGGCAGCAACTCCTCAGCAAGCCACAGCAAGTCCCCTCTGGGAGCTGCTTCGGGGGGCTTTCAGAGGTTCCCGGGACAAACTCAGCAGCAGCAGCAACCGCAGCAGCAGCAGCATCCCTCAGGGGCCACCCCGACTCTAAACCAACTGCTGACGTCCCCCAGCCCCATGATGCGGGGCTATGGCGGTGCATATCAAGACTACAGCGGCCCCACGGCGCAGCAGCAAGCAGGCATGGGCCTAGGGAAAGACGCGGGGCCCCAGTACGGAGCCAACTCGGCTCATGGATGGGGAGGGCAGCAGAGAAACCATCCGCAAATGAGTCCAGGGAATGGAGGGCAAGGCCTCGGCAGGGCTCAGGTAAGTTTCTGGAAACTTCATTAGTCAGCCAATCAGTGAACTTTGGTTTTTCTCCACGCTGGTGTGTCACTCATTTTTACAAGGTGCTGTGTGTGTTGACAACAAATAGGCCCGTATGCCCCGGACATTACCTGTGGTAGAGTGTTGAAGTATGTAGATCATTTCAGGAAAATAACCTTGGTTTATATTTGTATCAAAGGGATTTTATGCAGAATAAATACATTTTTTTTAAATTGTAGGCAAAAGTGTAAAATATAAGACCTGTTGGAGATTTAACAAGACAGAAAAAGGGAAGATAACGTAAGCAAAACATTTAGATTCTAAAACATTAGCTTCTTGATTTGGCTTTAAATGAGGCTGTAATTACTGATAGGCTAAATCATAGGCGGTGACCATACTCATGTTTTTATAGATCATATTTGTGTTGTTCACCCTCCACTTTATTTCTTTTTTGATGAGTTTTAAAGCAGCATTAATGTTAGAGAGATTCAACTCTGCCGACGTGGTGTCAGACACGTTGCGAAACGCCCTGTTTAGAGGACGTGTTGTGTTCGAGGTGCTCGCCGAACAAAGTAAAACATGCCTTTAGAATATGTAGATCAACGCTAATTTTAAACGGCAACGTTCTCTAACAATTCTCAACTCTTCGTGTTTTGAAAAATGAACGGACACCGTGGCCGTGCGAAGAAACAGTGTGTCCCTGTCCGCGCGCTCAGTCTCGAGCTGGAGCATGTCGGTGCGCCTCGTATTATTCCCATGCAGCTCGGGATTTGAATAGTGGAGGTAAACTGGCTAAAAGCTCTCCGCACTCCCAGCTCACAGTTGACACCCAGCCTGCCATCTGATTGGCTCCCTGTGGTCCCGCTGGGCAGACTGCACTCAGAAAAAAAAGGAGGATACTTGCAAGGCTCCTTGGCCATGGCGTTGTAGTGATGCTGCATTCATGTCTGATGGGAATACTCCAGACTTGGAGGCCTTCCAACGCAATAATTGAAGTTTTATGAAGGTTTTGGCTGATCTGGATAATTATTCTCATAATTCTTCCACACTGAAAAGATGTACAAAAACACTTCAATGTCAGCTCTTAATGACAGAAAGGAAATCATGTGTGAGTTAACATTTTAAACTACTTTTTCTACTTGTATTCTTTGTTGAAGAATATGTTTTTTTAAGTTATTTGTAATTTAGCATTTTAATTATAGTTTTTGAAAAATTGTCCAACACACATATCTTAAAAATGGGAAGTTAAAACATAATATAATTGTTGCATTGACATTTTGAAATACAAGGGAAAGGTCCGTTTTTGTGGAAACCTTTTTATTCAACAACCCTGTTGGCTAACCTCTGTTAGCTTGAGGTTGAATGCCTTGCATGAGGGCACCCCAGGTAAAACTAGAAGAAAGTATTCCTCCCCCTGTTTTTGGGGGCTGCACTCAGGGGTCCCTGGGTGTCCCCAAACCTTGTGCTGAACACCGATGTGTCAACAGCGTGCAGACAGGGGAGGGAGGCACTGCCAGCTCAGAACTCTGCCCCAAAACAAAAAAGCAGCCATTATTCTGCAGTTGTTTTTGATGCACTAAATTATTCGTACTGCAGGATGGCACATCTGGACGACTGCAGGGTAAGGTGGTTGAGCAAAGCTTATACTGTCTGCAAAACAAAAGCAGTTCATTAGCCTACATTGTTTCAATCAAAGGCAATTTGTGTTGGATGCTGGGGAAATTAAGTGAATGTTTTAGCGTGGGAGTGTTTGCTGCTGTATTGATTGTATCAAATTATGCACTGATAAAATGGTCACTAGAAACCTACAGTAAACTCACTCCTTAATTATTACTGGGTTTGTGCAAACTGGTTATTAAGAATATATATACCATGGAGACTTATAACTCTGATAACAAATCAGTATAGGTATATTCTATACTATTTATGTTCAGCTTTTTAGTGAGTATATATCCAACAAACCAGCTCCCTGAACAAATCTTACATTTATCATTATATACGGCAATTTCTTTTTTTCAGTCTGCCACTTCAGGATTGAGTGCGTGTGCGACAGTGTTTTTTCCTCAGCTCTACCTACATTTCAGCAGCAGTATATTCACGCTACAAAAGCCCTATGTTTAATTCATATTTGGAGCGGCAGCAGCGCACTGACAGGCTGTGTGAGAAAGGCGAGCGGTGTAGTGCATAATAGTGCCTCCAAATTGGCCCCGTGATATGCCTGCGCTTCACTTCAGAGTGCGTTTGGTCGGAGCACGCCTCCGTCACCTGTTGGCACAGTTTCCCCTCTTTCAAATTCAATTTCCCTCCCCACTGCCTCTCTTCAGGAGCAAGCTGTGAGCGAAACGAGTGCACCTCATTTACACCGCTGTCCCCCCCCCCCACCCACCTCACGCTCACTTGTCTGGCCGCTCACCAAAATAAAGACAGAACCCTACTGTGTTTGTGTGTGTGTTGTGCATGTGTATACACACCAGAGACACATGTTATTTAGAGGTGTGTGTGTTGAACCTGCTCTATCATCAAAATCACATCGTCCTATTACAAATAACTGAGGCCTATTTCATTGACAAATAATAGAGCAATTTTCAGTGTTCAGTTTGTGACCTTCAGCCTCATTGTGTGTTTGCATGTTTGGTAACACGCCAGCTGTTTTAAATCCATGCTGTTTCAGCTCAATGTGTGTTTTCCTATAGCAGCAATACACTGCACATGTGCACTCCTAATGACTTAGGCTCACATCATATGAAACAGCATATTCTGTCTCAACCTATATGTATAACAAGGATCTGTCTGGAATCTACTAATCAGAAGACATCACAGACAGACACACACATATCACACACACACAGAACAATACAAGTAATTAGTAGATTATAACGAGAGCGTCGGAAATAGCGTTGTTGCTCACATAATTGCAGCAGTAACTCGTTTAAAATCTGACCTAATAAAACAAAAAATAAATGGATATCTACGGCTTCCTCTAATTGATCACTATTATGCTCGGTGTTTTGCCTTTATTTTTTTTAAAAGTGTAATCAAAGCTCAGTAGTTCTACATATCAAAGACGAGAGCCAATCCCATCCTTGGTTAATGTGCTTACCTTGAAATGATTCCTGCTCGCAGTGCTCTCCAGTGCATACTGTTTACATTTCTCTCTTATGAATTATTAGTGTGATACGAACAAAGACTTTATAATAGGAGCAATGCATCAATGTCACATTGTATTATGCGGCTATCTCAGGGAGCCTTGTGCATAGTGATGGGCCTGACTGTGGCTGCTGGAATTTAATTTATGGCTCATGTTCTGCATCGGGCAGACAGCCCACGGGGTCCAGTCAGGTGTGTATGTTTGGGGGGCTTTTTTTTTTTAAGGGTGGTGTTTTGTGTGTGTGTGTGTGTGTGTGTGTGTGTGTGTGTGTGTGTGTGTGTGTGTGTGTGTGTGTGTGTGTGTGTGTGTGTGTGTGTGTGTGTGTGTGTGTGTGTGTGTGTGTGTGTGTGTGTGTGTGTGTGTGTGTGTGTGTGTGTGTGTGTGTGTGTGTGTGTGTGTGTGTGTGTGGTGTGTGTGTGTGTGTGTGTGTGTGTGTGTGTGTGTGTGTGTGTGTGTGTGTGTGTGTGTGTGTGTGTGTGTGTGTGTGTGTGTGTGTGTGTGAGACTGCTGAAGCCCCTTCGTCAGCACTAAGCAGTCCAAATGTAACCCCGCCTCTCTCACAACGTCTCTCCCTCCCTCCGTCTCTCGCTCTCTGATCCCTCCCGTCAGTCGTTTGTTTATGTCGGTTTGTTTACATCTCTGTCTTTGCTAGCAAGCGCACTGCTGATTAGCAACACTAGAGTTACATTTTAATTTGCTCTGTTGCGTCCGATAAGAGCCCCGCACAGCTTTTTTTTGTAATCTTCCTCAGATGAAACACAGAGCCTACGTAGGTAATTGGCAGGCCGGGGTTATCCCTGGTCTGCATGCGGTTCCCACATAAACGCCAATTAATTCAGATTTTTTGAAGAAATATGAATTTAAAGAATAGTCTGTCCAGTTGCATCACCAGACGTAAATTGGTATTATAAGATGGCTTAATAAAATGCCTTTTATTTTCCTTTCTGGTTGCACCATGCACTCTCAGCATCCCCTGGAGTTAAAGGTTGATTTGTAAAGGCCCTGAAGAAAGGATTTAATTACTGTGAGCGGCCGCTGATTTGGTGTCAGCTGTTTCTCAGCTCGGTCTTATCCAAACTGCCGGTGTCAGGAGGAGGCAGAAAAATCTAAACCAAAGCAATTTTTATGGAAGAAAGTTAATTGTGCATATGGGAGAATTTGACTTTTCCGTGTGGATGTAGCTTTCAGGCTTTGATTTGATATTCATTTCAATTACATTTCTCAACCTTGTTTAGTTTGTGTCAGCAGTGGAGAAGAACTATACCATGTTATAAAACTACAGGCGTCATCTGGCATTCTGGGATTTGTAGAATACATTACAGCTCTGTTATTTATTTAGATAAAGAACCTACATGTACGTGTGACCACAACTTTCTATTTTTGTCTCAAACAGAATTATGGATCTAATAGCAATGACATTTTAAATAGCTGTTAGCTCTCTTTCTATTATCTGTTCAATTTGTTCAGTGAGAACTACCACCAGCAAAAGGGAAGTCCTTTGAATATTTATTAATATTCGTTAATTCAAAAGTGCCGCTATGCAGCGTGAAAACTGAAACAAAGAAAAGGTATTGGCAGTGTTAATATGACCATGTAGTCACAACTTCTGCAAAGGCACAGTTTTGACATTCTTGTTTGTAAAAATATTGCTTTTGTTATATTAGTTATAACCAATGCATTCCTGTGGACAAATGGTTATGTATAAACATTGATTCATACACATAGTTTTGATTGTGTAATTTAATCAGTTTCAAGACTTTCTTGTGATATTTTATTGGATTTTTAGTTGTCTTTCTAATTCCAATAGGTCATGATTTGCATCTATTTGCAGAGACTCAGCTGCTGCCTGCTC